TTTCCGAATCGTTTGAGGGAATTGCTCCTTATTATTAAAATATCCAAAATTAGAACAAAGCCGAACACCATTTTGAAACTAACGTCTTTAGCTATGTCCTGTGAAAATTTGAGAAAAATTCGTTAAAACCCGCAGGAGCACAACTCGTTTAAAAATCAGTATTTGCCGTAAAATTCTTCGAGAGAAAATTGAATTTGAATATTACATTTTCAATGTTTTTCTTATTACAAGCGAAATGTATTTTATTAAATAACTCTGCGAGTTTTCAACATTTTTCGTCCAAACTTGGTCAGATAGTAGAACTAGTTTAATGCTTTCATGGAAACCAATAAAAAAATTTTAGGCAAAATTAACACTCAAAGGTGTTCTGTAACCTTAACAGAGAACCAACCATCCTGAGGTCCGATGACTTCGATCCTCAATGTGCTGTAGAAAGTTTATTTGCTTGCCGGAAAAAACGAGCTCCCAGACTTATTTATTTCTTGCAGAGCCACTACACTAGATCAACTCAGGAGTGGAACCAATTTACGGATGCCTGTAATCGTATATGGAGCATTGGAGCGAATGTTTGTGATGAGGTAAAAGATAGATCTGGTAATAATATGGTTTCCAGTGCAATTTAAAGTCTTTGAAAAACTCACGAGTGTTTGTTTTTCCAAATTGCACGAGAAACCATACTATTACTTATTAACAACATTAATTAACACCAATAAATTTGAAACATCCGGAAAACAATTTAATAACGTTTATAACTACCATCAGATAAAAAGTATACATTAAAACCCATATATAAACTTTTCCACTCTTCTGTATACGGCGCCATTTTGATTTTTGAAAAATTGATTTACAACATTCATTGATTCAAAACGCAATGCGCAGGCTCGAGTTAAGTTTGGGTGCACTGTGCCTTTAAGACGCTGATTGACTGCTGGGGAGAAATTATTCAATCTGAGTTCAATTTTTGGCGGCTAGCGGATTGTTTGAACTATATTGCAAATAATCTAAATGTTAAATAAGAATGTTCAAAAAGGATTGGCTTACCAGAACTTAAAGCGATTTCTCCCATATGGGGTCAAATCATCTGCTAAAAAATTGTTTTCGGAGTGTCCCAACCGGGAATTGAACACAAGGTCTGTGGTTTAATGTATCAGCGCTTAGCGCTGGGATTGCCCGATTGAGACATTGCCTAACGCAGGCTTGACATTGGCTGTGGCTGACCAAGCCTGAAGTGAATACTGCTTTCTTGTTGTCCTCAGCAGAGCAGAGTATATAGCGGGTTAAACTGAAAATTTGTTTCCTGAGTGTGTGGATTGGATATTCCGCGTTGGGTGTATGCATTAAATTTCGGCGGGAACCTGATAGCGGATTCGATTCCTGGTTAACAACCAGGGACATTGGGTTCGATTCCCGGTTGGGACACTCAGAAAACAATTTTAACCCACGGGAAAACCCGCTTTACACTCTACACTCTGCTCTGCTTTTGAGGACAACAAATAAAGAGTAGAATATAGGTTTAGCGCTGGCCATATTAAATGGGAAAAGATTGGAAAATTAGAGATTTCACGCGTTGAAGGATGTACATCAGTTCAAACAATACTTACGTAATCATCATTATGTGTGGTGTCGAATTTTACCAGCGGCGGTTTTAAGGTACCTCAACCCCTTAAAACCGCCAGCTACGCAGGCTAAGTGAACGGAAGAGATGAACGGGAAAGGTGAAGTGTTGTGTTTAAGTAAAGACCAATAAAGTTTTCTGACTGGAATGATAAAATCTCAGAAAGGTGAGGATCAATTGAGTGAGAGTTTAATCCGGAGGTTAAATCATTGACGGCTTTCCTATAATACCAATGGATAGTATTAAGAGAGTTAACTTTTTAAAATCCATCGTTAGAGAGCGATGATTACAACGAAAATAATAGGAAGTTAACGTCGTTGTCTAAGTCGCAATTAACGAAAACAATACCGCCCTTCCACAGAGATTTATAACGCTAAAGGGTAAAATAAACAGCCAGCTTATGAAACAATGACGCAGTCGAGCAAATAGGGATGAGAGACATTATACATGGCCTAAAATTCATAGCAAAAGTCTCAACGTACACTTGTTTATGATTACCTACCTATTTACCCACGTAGAGTTGTGGTGATCCTCGACAGGCCCGGACCACCCCACAGAGCAGACGCATCTTTGTCATTTTGCCAGGATAGCAGTGAGTTGGAATTGGGTGTGGTATATCCCTATACGGGCGGTTTATCAGGTACAAACAGCAGGAATTTTATCAGCGTATACGCTTGCAATCGCTGAGGTCAATGATGACCGCGTGGTATGGAATACATTTCAACAGCTTTAGACCTGTTAAGCCGGTTTTCCACTAGGCAGTATTTTGCGCGCGGAGCGGAATTTTTCTTTGTATTTTCTAATCAGTTCCACCCAAGAAATCATAAGACAAAGGAAACAAGACAAGGAAACATGCAGCAGCCAGTGGCAATCGACAACAACCAGAAACAACTAGTAGCGACCAGAAACCACCAGTAGCAGCTGGCATAAACCAGCAGCAATCAGGAAGAATTGGCACAAACCAGGAACATCAGAGTTCACGCAACCAACAACAATCAAACCCTAGCAATAACCAGATCGCTGTGGTGCTTAGGTGCATAGTCAGCTCCATGGGAGCGCAATTTTTCTTTGTCTTTTCTAATCAGTTCCATCCGAGAAATCACAAGACAACGAAAAATTGCGCTCCGCGCGCAAAATTCCGCCTAGTGGAAAACCGGCTTTAAGTATTGTCACCTAACCAGTCTGCCGATTTTGTTATCATTTGCCAAAGACTCCATTCGACTGGACGTTGCATTGCACCCAGTAACATAACTTTAGCCTAGCCGACCTACACCTCCCCAACGTTCGTCAGGACCTCTTTTATCTTGTAACATATAAACTGGATATAAACTGGGGGAGGTCTCCCCCAGCCCACATGTTGGCCCCTCCAGTAAACTATGTTGATCCTCCCCAGTGAATGTCCCTTTGTCTAAAATATAAGCAAAGGAGAAAATAACTTATGCTCAAAAATATGTCCTAGTTAAGTTTCCCAATTAGAAGGATTATCAGTTTTCAATGGTATCTGCGCATCCAGATGTATTGCTGCGATACGAGTTACGTATAACTAACTTAGTGGAGTTGGTTAGCTCCTATTGTATCTCTATATTTCTGTCTGACTAACATATATGTATATATATATATATATATATACGCATGAGGGCTGTTTCGTACCTCGAACTTTTGATGTAGATATTGTATCTCTATATTTCTGTCTTCCATACACGTGACTTATGACTATATATCAATACTTCATATAACTAAAACATAATAGCTCCTAACCAATCAATGATAGCTGGCTGCTCCTTATCGGTCTTACCTTCCTGCTGCTTGTTCCTGGTTGTTCCTCCTGGTTTCCGGACCAATCAGGAACAGAAATATTCTCGAGTGAAAGATTCCAAACCGCGCAAAATTCCAAACCATAACCTGTCGACATGCGTGTTTCGGCGTTCTACGCCTTATAAGCGCAGCTTGGTACACGTCGAGATACGTGATACGCATGAGCTTGGTCTCACCATTGAACTATAAATAAAGTGGAAGGCTAACTGCTATGATGAAGGCCTATGATTTGATGAAGCCAAAACAGTTTTTCTGAGTTATGAGCAGAAATACTTGACCCCAAAGGTTCGGCTATATATCAAATTGAAGCTATCGAAAATTGCTATTCGGTGTGGAAATTTCAAGACTTCAGCGAAAAGAAAAAGATTTAAAAAATACAAAAACAACTGCAAAATGGCAAGTTATCGGTAATTATGTTTGTAGTTTTTCAATATTTCCCTTTTAGCTAAAGTCTTGAAATTTCTACACCAAATAGCGTTTTTCAACAGCTTCAATTTGATATATAGCCCAATGTTCAGTGTTGAGTATTTCTGCTCATAACTCAGAAAAACTAAAATGCACTGGCTTCAATCCCCCCCCCCACCCCCCTGAGTTAGCCTTCCAGTTTATTTATAGTTCAATGGGTCTCACCAAGCGAATGTGGTAAAATACGACGGTATCAACGCATCCAGACATGCGCAGAGTGTAGTGGAGCCAGAGTGCTCAAACGACCACAACAGGATTTGGGGCATCTACACTCGATAGAACTAGATGGAAATTTCGAGTGTGAATTTTTATACATTTATTAGACCTAACCAGGAGAAGTTGGAATAGAATTGAATAATTGGTTGTTGTTGCTAGCTGTTCATGGTTGTTAGTTCTTATTGCTAATTGTTGCTGATTGCGACTAGTCCTCCCTGGCTGTCCTGTGTTGATGACTGTGCCTGCTCGTTGTTAGTTGTTTCTGGTTATCAGTGTTTTGGCTGGTTGCAGTGTTGATGACTGTGCCTGCTTGTTGTTGGTTGTTTCTGGTTATCAGTATTTTTGCTGGTTGCAGTTGGTTGTTCCTATCTGTTGATGGTTATTCCTGGTTGATGCTGGTTGTTCCTGCTTTCCTTGTTTGCTGCTGATTTTCTTGCTTATCCTTGGTTACTTCTGGTTGTTGGCTTCCTTTTCCTGGGTCCTTTGGGATGTATACGCAACGATAAAGCAAGCAGATACAAGCACGTTCAGATTATTCGTATCAAAAGATAGGACAAGTTCTCATGTTTAAATTCGTGTTCGAAATATATATGTGCACATATTCAAAGTGCTAGTGTAACTTGTCCCCGAGCCGACGGCGCGAAGCGCCGTGCGAGGGTACTAAGCCATGACTTTAGAACACCGTATTTGTAATGAAATCACTCTTTATTTTCACGTTTATTACAAAATTATGTAGTTTTGTACAGTAAGTTACTTTCACGAGGATGTTCAACTAACAACACAACAATCCCATCATGCATTTGTCTCTCAGTATTACGTCATACTAATATTTGGATAACATACAGTTTTATATTGAACTCAACACCCTCACTTGTTATCAGAATATAAACTAATTACAACAACCGAACACGATACTTTTAAAATTATCTAGTTTACATTTTGTGGGTGGCTTTGTTAGGATATCAGCTACCATATCTTGGGTAGGACAATATACAATATCTATCATGCCTTTAACATACATTTCACGTCCAAAGTGGTACTTTATGTCAATATGCTTAGAACGTTGTCTGTTAACTGGGTTCTTACTTAGTGCAATTGCCCCTTGGTTATCAACACTTACCTTCATACTCTTATGTACTTTCTTATACATACCGTTTAACAATTGAGTTAGATACAAACACTCTTGAGCTGTATTTGCTAAAGCTACATATTCAGCTTCGCAAGTGGAAATGGCAAGCGTTGGTTGCTTTCTCGACTTCCATGAAATCAGTGGTCCTCCTTCAGTTAGAGTACAACAGTAACCTGTAGTACTTCGCCTGTCTTCCAGGCAAGAGGCCCAATCTGAATCACTATAAGCAGTGAGCTGCAAGTCAGCATCAGATTTCTTAAAGCAGAGTCCATAATCCACGGTACCCTTTAGATACCTTAGGACATGTTTGGCAGCAATTAAATCTCCCGTTCTGGGGTTTGACAGAGTTTGAGACAGTTTGCTTACAATCCAACTTAAATCAGGCCTTGTACAGGTCATGGCATAAATTAAGCTTCCTATCATTTCTCTATACTGTCTGGCGTTGGTCAATTCACCACCGTTGGTCGTGCAATTCACCACACAAATTCTAATCGTTGCTCACATGGGGTTAACCTGGGCTTGCAGTCTATCATTCCAAATCTCTCTAGTATTTTAAGAATGAATCTTTTCTGATTCATTTTTATTTCACCCTTGCTTTGCTTAAAATCCATTCCAAGGAAGAAAGTGATTCTACCTAGATCTTTCATCTTAAATTGTGTCTTCATACTTTCTTTAAATTCTTCCATTAACTGCATACTATCTGAAGCTATAATTAGGTCATCAACCCAAACAATGACGATAACAATTTTATCATCAACTTGTTTCTTATACACAGTGATCAGCATGGTTTCTGACAAAACCGTCATTTGCTAAATGCTCGTGTAACAATATGTTCCAATTTCTACCTGATTGTTTTAGACCATATAGCGATTTCTTTAGCCTATATACTAACCTCTCACCACTCTCTGAAACCTCTTCAAACCCTTGTGGTTGGTCTATGTATAACTCTTGAGTAATGGGGGCATGCAGATATGCAGTTTTAACGTCCATCTGGTGGACAATAAGATCATGTTTAACTGCTAACTGCATTAAGACCCTAATTGAAGTAATACTGGCTGTCGGGGCAAAAGTTTCTTGATAATCTGTACCCTTTACCTGGCTCTAACCCTTCGCTACATATCTGGCCTTAAAGGTCTCTATGTCATTCTGATCTTGTTTGGTTGTGTACACCCATTTTCCCCCCACTGAAGCTTTACCTTCTGGTAAAGTTGATAATTCGTAAGTATCATTCTCCTTCAGAGAGCTGATCTCTTCCTTCATTGCTTGCTCCCACTTCCTAGCTTGAGGTGATCCCATGGCTTCTGTGTAATTTTGTGGTAATCCACAAACTTTGTAGCAGTAATCTACACTAATGTGGGCATAATCGGCATTCTTAGGGAGAAGGGTGTCCTCTTCTAAGTATCTGGGAGGGTTCCTTTCTCTTTGAGGATACCGTTTTGTCTCACTATCATTCTCAGTATGGTCGCAATGCCTTCCCTCACTATCCCTAGGCTCCTCATCAGGCACTGTATTTGGCGGCATTGCACTTAAAACAGGGAGGCTCATACTATCTAAGTCTGATCTAGTATCATGGTCAGATTTCTCATGTACATCACAGTCCCTGCTGGACTCATCAGTTTGTGTGCTGTTCCACACTACCTTTCTTGATGAATCTAATGAGTCGATGTTTCATGATTTTCCCATTTTGTGGGTAGTACACTAGGTAAGAAGGGCTATTTTTGTCGTATCCCACAAATACCCCCTTGCTGCATCTTGAGTCTAATTTCTTATGCTCCTGTTCGTAAGCAAAACATTCAGATCCAAAGATCCACATTTTAGAAAGATCAGGTACTTTCCCAGTAAGGCTAAAGTAGGGTGTTGTCTTTGTTCTCTTATTAAAATATCTATTCCTAATGTGAGCTGCGGTTTGAATTGCATAGAGCCAGAGAGTTTTGGGTAACCCTGATTGAAGACGAAGACATCGGCCCATTTCGAACAATGTGCGCCAGTGCCTTTCGGCGGTGCCATTCTGGTGTGGCGAGTAGGGAGCAGAAGTTTCATGTTTTATGCCACGCTCCCTTAGTAGTGTTTGAAACGCCTTACCTGTAAATTCTGAGCCATTGTCAGAACGGATGCAACTTACCTTGCCATAAGGAGTGATGCCTGCTAGAAATTTCTCTGTTGCTACAAAAGTGTCACTTTTACATTTCAGAAAGTAAATGAATACTGCTCCTGAGAAATCGTCAGTAAAAGCTATGCAGTACTTAAACCCCTCTCTTGATACAGGAGAAACTGGACCTGCCTAATCCACATGCACTTTCTCCAATGATTTTTGAGATTTTGCATCAGGAATCCTCCTCCTGCTGTTTACAAATTTTCCTTCTACACATGTATTACAACCTAACTTAGATGATTCAATTTTACCTGAGAATTTCATGCCCTTAACTACCCCCTGTAGTTTTATAATATCTTCAAAATTGCAGTGACCTAGGATTTCATGCCATGTGTTAATATCATATGAGAGATTTACTTTATCTACTTCACTTACGCTATCGTTCTCATGACTGCCTATGGAAGTCAAATAGTACAACCGTCCATGTTCTTCAATTTCAACAATGGTATCATCTTCAAGGGTTAGCTCACCAGAATCTTGGGCAAATCGAAGCTCGGCTCCATTTGATGTGGCTGCCTTCACTGAGAAAATATCTTGAGGATAGGATGGTATATATAAGGCGTTTTTTCAGCACCGTTTTCACACATTTTCCATTTGTATCTTTCTGAAACACTTCAGCATCCCCTCGTTTCAATGCAATATTACTGGCTCGTGTGCCATCAGCCAGTTCAATGAAATGTTTTGATGGTTTAAATGTCATGTCTATTTGCTTTAAAATATCAGTTGTAACAATGTGAGAAGTGGCACCTGTGTCAACCAACATTCCCATTCGATTGATTTTCCCCGTTGCTTCGTCGTTAACTTTGAATGCAAATGAATGTTCATCCTTAGAGGCGTTTTCTTTCTCCGACTCCTGTTTGGCTTGGTCTTTGCTCTTTTGCTGACTTCTGCAGGTGCTATCCGAGTGTGTTGTACTTTTGTGATAGTTACACCACTTCTTCTCGCTCTTAGCAGGGCACTCTCTGACTAAATGCGCTCTTCCCGCAGCCATAACATGTCATTGTTTGCGAAGGAAACTCAGCTTTCATTACCTGATCAACTTTCGGTTTGGTGTTGAGCTTTTCCGTTTCTTCGAAACTCCTCAACATGCTCTTAAACTTCGCGAACGTTATCTCACTTGCACTTTGGGTCACATGTATCGAGAATGGTTTATATGAATCAGGCAGCCCCTTTAAGATCATAGCAATTATTAGCCCATCGCTTAACGTTTCTTTGGCGTTCTTAAGCGCTGTTATTGCCTTCTCGGCTCTTATTAAGTAATCCGTGACTGTCTCGTGAAGTTCTTTTTCAAGTGACGTTAGCTCAGTGTAGAGTGTGATGATTCTTGGTTTGCCTTGATTTGCATAATGATCTCGGAGTATTTGTAAAGCCTTTCGGCCATCGTCGGTAGCATCCCTCATTACCAATGACAGACTGGTGAGTCATCCAAACACTGTATAAGCTCGGCGTAGCATTCTTCGTTCTTTGTTGCGTTAGCCTCTTCTTCTGACGGCAGGATAGTATCCTTTAGTTTTAATAACCTCATGTGCGCGAGGAATTTCGCTTCCCACAGTTCGTAATTGCTTTCGTTTCCATCGAAAGTCAACCTTGACCAGCGTGATTCTCTGCTGGGCCCATAACCTGTTGAAGCCATGACTTTAGAACACCGTATTTGCAATGAAATCACTCTTTATTTTCACGTTTATTTAAAATTATGTAGTTTTGTACAGTAAGTTACTTTCACGAGGAAGTTCAACTAACAACACAACAATCCCATCATGCATTTGTCTCTCAGTATTACGTCATACTAATATTTGGATAACATACAGTTTATATTGAACTCAACAATTCCCCCCGGCTATTTACACCCGGGGAAGCGAAAGCATTAGCGAAGTCTAAAGTTCACCAATGATCGCGGGCGTGGCTCACTGTGCGTGGGTGGTCATCCTCACTGATCTCAAAAATATGGCGGACTGTCATGAATAGCGGACACTGTGATTGGTCCAATTTAAAGTTTGAATTTTCAGTCTCACTGACTCTCACAATTAACTGGCTCCTTAGGGAAAAGTAAAGAAGTACTTGCAGAAATGTGATAATTGTGGAAGATGTTTCATTTTATCAAATTACGGATGGCAACAATAGCCTTGTTGAGTCATTGACCACTTGACTAGTAATCACTACAGTGTCATATTACTCAAATAGACATATCAATATTATAAAAGTCTTATATTAACATTTATTTTATATAAAACCTGACCTTTATATCCTACGTATACTACATTTATATCGGTTATCCTCGATATTAATAGCCTTCTGAGTTCTGACGGTCTTTCAACCGCGAAAATATGCAAATTTGTTGAGTAAATCAAAATTCATAGCTAAATCTCAATGAAGATACGTGTGTAGAAAACGGTTTTTATTATCGCTTATTTCTTCGTTATTATCGCTTATTATAGCTCGAAACGCTACATATTTCAATGTTTTATTTTCATCTTGTTCAAAAAATATGTCACCTAAAAACCGGAAAAACCGGTTATATATGTAATTAAGTAAAATTACTGTAACGTAAACAATGTCAACGATCACGTGAATGTCACGATTGTTACACTCCCCAAAGTTTATTAGCTCTAGTAATAAATTTTAACAAAACAACAAGCAAATTACAGTTCATGTGTCCCTTTCTCTTCGAGCAATCTCTCCAATAATTGCAGCAGGGTTGTCAGATGAAGTATTGGCCATCGAGTGAGTGATTTCTAGTGCATTCTTTTTTGCTTCTTGTAGAACCTGTTCGTTCTCTTCTTGTACCGGTCGAGGCTTTGGACCAGGGCCGGATTAACGTTCCGCGGGGCCCGTGGCATATTATTGGAGCGGGGCCCCTTGATCCCCCCCCCCCCCAACCGTCCAACGGCATTTTAGACCCTGAATTCAGTAAGATTAAAAAATATCCTTATGTATTTCATGTGCTGAAAAGTTTCCTGTATTCTTCATCATACATCGTACTGAAATTCAACCCAATTTATACCATTAAGTTGAGTCCACATTAACATTATTATTATTTACAGAGGGTCGATATCAACTTCTACCGTCTTCCACGAAATTCAGCGATCTTTTAGTATTTAACAGCTTGCTGCAAATTTTGAAATAATTTCTGAACCCTATTATTTTCTGCCCTCGCGATCGCTTTTTGGAGCCCCTTGCTCATAGAAGGAACAAAAAATTTTGTTTGCGGGCCTGCTTTTGGAGCCTCGCTTTTTAAACTTTGGGGCCTCGAGGTTTTTTTAGTGTGGGGTTTCGCTTTTGGGGGCCTTGGACTCTTTGGGGCCCCGCGTTGTTTGGATCCCGCGCTAAAACAGGGAACAAAAAATCGTTCGTGGCCCCGCACTTTGGGGCCCCGCACTTTGGGGCTTTAATTGTTGAAGTAAACTTGTTCACGAGTCTTGCAAGAAGAACAGTCCCTAGCAATTCCAGTCGTGGAATTGTTTGTTTCTTTATCGGTGCTACTCTAGACTTTGAGGCTACTAGGCGAACTAAAATGCGACCATCTTCGTAGACTGAACGCAAGTACAGAACAGCCGCATACGCACGTTCTGGGGCATCGCTGAAATCATAAATTTGTATGTCTATAGGAGTCGATTGAAAATAGCAACGAGGAATACGCACGTCCGTAAGGAATTTCAACTCATCTAGAATTGATTTCCACCTTTGTAATAGATTTCCTTCTAGTTTATCGTTCCAATTAGTCTTAATCAAACAAAGTTGTTGAAATAAAATCTTCATTTCAACCGTGAAAGGCGTTAAGAACCCAATGGGATCAAAGATCTTTGCCGGGTAAGGCTAAGGACAGAACGTTTCGTTTCAGGAAGGGAATGACCATATTTTGCTAATTCGCTTAAGTCAAAGAAAATCTCGTCCGAAATTGTGTCCCACTTTAATCCTAAAACCTTAACAGTCGAGTCATTCTTTTCTTTGAAATTCCCAATCGTAGTTTGCGACTTCGCATATGACTCGTCATCTTCAGTCGTATTAACAATCGGTGCTGATTTGGAATGTTCGTGCAGAGAAGTTTCGTCAGTTTCGATCAATTTCAGGAGATTCGGAGAGTTCGAATGCCATTTACGGAGGTTAAATCCACCTTTCGCCATGATTTCTTTCGATTTCTTGTACACATTGAAGGCTTTCGCGTCGTTCTCCTCCCCCGTTATCAAATCATCAACGTATAAGGAATCTTTCAACATTTCAACAATTTCAGGCTCGTTTGGTGAAACAAACGAAGATGGTGCTCGATCGTAGATCCCAGAATTGGTGGCGATGGTCTGAGACCAAAAACTAGTCGGTTGAAACGATGTCATAGAATAAGAAATGAATAGAAGGGCAACTCGCTAGACTTGCCCAAGTCGCTCGCTAGGGACCGCGCGTAGCAAGAAGGGAGCACGAACCGCGGACTTTGGAAAGTCTAGCAACTCACGTGTCATTCTCGTACCCAGAGCCCTTCTTACGCGCGTTCGACCGAGCACGACGAGGGGCTCTGGCCAAATCCATAACCGGATACCATAAAAACATGGTATTCGGTTAAACACTGCGCATGCTCAACATCAAACGCGGATAAACACTTCGGTTTTCTTGTTTGTTTCGTTTTGAAAGTTTTTCTCCAGGAAAACCCCACAAAAGCGGTAGGTTTCGCTAATTTTATTTATTTAAATCAATTAGTAGGTAAGACGTGATGTTCTCAATGCATGTTGATAAAAATTTAGTATATATTTCCCTCTTAAACGTTGCCAAAGCAGTAATGGCTACGGATACGAAGACGAGAGATTGTCTCACTATTTTATATTCGATTTTAAGTCGCTGTTGTACAGATTTTTAGACTTTTTTGTGTTTTATTAAAAGTCAACAGTCATACATAAGACATACTATACTGCAAATCATTTGAAAATTGTAAAAAATCGGTTTCTAGGAAGAAATTAAAATAGTCGTCACAATTAACTTCATATTATGGCTGGCTTTAGTATTTTCTCTTCAGATGGCACTTCAGCTTTGAACATGTAACACAGATTTGTTTGATTAACATCACTGATTTGAAAATACGACGAGCATCTCCCATAAATATGCTGACTTTTTGCTACGAGAACATCACGTCTCAACCTATTAATTTCAATCAACTAATTGATCAGTTAAATAAATAAAATTAGCGACATCTACTGCTTTTGTGGGCGATTATCAACAACAATCTTCCTAACTGCTTCGTACTGCTGTTCTTTCAACTTTAATAATGTCTTTTCTCCCAATTTTCAAAGGGAAACCAACGCTTCGTGGAGCGCTTGTGTATTTTTATTCATATTTACTATAATAAACCATATATTTCATTGTGGCCAATCAGAAGCCAGTTTGATATGGATTTGGCCAGAGCCCCTCGTCGTGCTCGGTCGAACGCGCGTAAGAAGGGCTCTGGGTACGAGAATGCTCACGTGTACAACGCGTAACCATTGAACTATACGCGTAACCAATTTCAGTGCGCACGCGCGGGATCTCTCAAGCTCGCAGCCAGTAAAGCCAGTCAGTGCAATAAGGATTTGTATTACGTATACATTTTGTACATTTTGATCACAAAATCGACTATTTTTCGGAAACAAAGGATTGGAATATCAAACTACTACAACTGCCTGCAGAGGCAATGAATTATTGTGGCTAGCATAGAAAGAAACGAATATTTAGGGAGAAATTTGATATTGTTGTGTGAGCTACAGTTCTGAATCTGAATGAAATGCTGACAGGCGATCGCGTATACTGTGTTGTTTATTTCGATTTTCGAGGTTTATGTCAAATCTTATAAGGACAGGTTTTGGATTGCATCAAATTTTATTTTAAAAAGTATAAATTTCAAAGTCGCGAGTAACAGCCTCGAGAAGTTCATCTATTTTCCATATTTCACCACAGGCGGCCCAATCTCAGAATGAATGATCAGGTGTTGCGGGTTTTTAACGGTTTTAATAAACAAATTTATAGTCAACCAAAACTATTCTAAAAACATTCTCAAATTAGTCAAATAAATACATTTTAACAATAAAATATAGTTGACATGATAGTATAATACCTTTGCATTCATTAAATTACTCCATGATTTATAGATAAAAACGCCTGTTCAGTGGTCAAGCCACTAGTGGTAAGGAGATATGATAAGTATACGAATCTGAATTGTATATAAAAACGGTTTTTATCGTCAAGGATAGCTTCGACAATGAAACATTAAAATTGGTCATTGAGACACTTGTAATTAACAAGCTTCTGTACTGCTCTACGGTGTGGTCCAACACGTCATCTAACAATATCAATAAACTTCATTGATATTATAGATAAATTTTATAGATAAAAACGCCTGTTCAGTGGTCAAGCCACTAGTGGTAAGGAGATATGATAAGTATACGAATCTGAATTGTATATAAAACGTTTTTATCGTCAAGGATAGTTTCGATAATGAAACATTAAAATTGGTCATTGAGACACTTGTAATTAACAAGCTTCTGTACTGCTCTACGGTGTGGTCCAACACGTAATCTAACAATATCAATAAACTTCAATCAGTGCAGAACTTCGCGTGCAGAGTTATATCAGGGCACGGTTAATAGAATTAGATGGTTAGGCTAGCTGGACCACGTGACAAATATGTTATTGTTCATTTTTATTTTTGGTCACGTGACGAGGAAAGGGGGGTGCTTTGTGATGAGTGATTAGGAAAACATATGAGTGAGAACATAATATGCCAACAAAAGATCATATTTCAAAGCGCTAGAGGGCTTCTGAGATCAAGATGGAAATTGAAACAGAAAGCGAAGAAACATACGAACCTATTTTGAACGTTGGAGATGAAAATATCGAAGAAAGCGAGCGTCGTGAACAGTTTATGATCGAGGGGACGAAGGCTTTGTTTATACACCGCGTTTGGATAATTGTATTTTTGCCGTTGTTTTTATAGTATGTCAGGATACGGTTAAACGTTTGAAGTAATATTGAACAGTATGGTTGGCTCTAATTGTGCTTTGTATGGCTGTCCGACCAGCAGAACGCGTGAATTTGCAATTTTTAAAATCCCTGTTGTTGGCACAGCCGATGTAGTCTGCGTAGGAGACTACAGCCGATGGTGAACAAGAAGAGAAATGCTCGCGAAGAATGCCTTCGAATTGTTTTAAAGGACTAGAGAAAAGACGGTAGATCTTCAGAAACAAATAAGATTTTCCTTTGTGAGCGTCATTTGAAGCCATTGTAAATTTTGCATTTTATGCATGCGCTTGTGTGATCAGATGTAAAGAAAGAGGGCATTGTATTTGCATATTTACATATCCCATGTGTATTAAATATCTATCTTCTGTAGACCCCAAACCAAAGATTTTATAACTGGTAGCGTACCACTGAAAATTTACCTACAATAAACACGAAGTTCCCAAGGCTGAGCGTCGCATTCTCAACGTATAAATACCATGCAGATAAACAACCTACAAGCTTCGAATTACACACGTTAGTTCAGTGGCTGGCGAGGTGGCTGGTGTGTCCAGTATTGAAATTAAAACTGATGGCAGATTTAGATAATATGCAAATATGGAAAGTAGAAGAAATTCAAGATAACCTAGGAGGTCCAAGGCTCAAAAAGCAATTTAAAATGCAAAAAAAATCTTTAAGTTTTTCACTATCATATGAAAATGGTCTATGCTTGTTTTGTTCCAAAAGTGGTATATTGCATGTAAATATTTTTTGTGGTCACTCGATTTTCATACCAAGATTGGTGAATTAAAGGAATAAAGGCCATGATATTATACTATCTGGTATTCAACAGAAATAAATTCAAATCACAGTACATCAAAGCTTTAATGGGTTAATTAGGGGCTGATTACATGGAGCACTTTCTACCCTGGGATTGTCTCCTACAGATCTACAGTTGGGACCTACGAGGCCTGGGCTGAACCCTCGCCCTTGTCTGTAATACAAAATGCTATCAAAATCAAATGCATGATTTCAAAATTTTCAATTCAGGGCCAAGTTCAACCCTGCTTCAGCTAGCAGAGTTAAATTTCAACCCCAGGTTGGACTTTGCCTTGGGTTGAAAATTTTATTCATGAGTTACTCAAGCATTTGATGAGGCTGGTTTTTGTTTTCACTTCCGGGAATGTATAGCATTTCAACCCTGGGGTTGAGATTGTCCATGTAATCCCAAAATATTCAACCCAGTTATGTAAACATGGTTGAGTTCAAACCTGTGGTTAAAAGTGCTCCATGTAATCGTCCCCTTAGTGTGGTGTGATCCGCCTACTGTGGGGCAGGGCTGTACTGAATGGTGGCAGATTACCATAATCAAATCACTTCTATTTCGACCAGCCAATAAGGTTTAATTAAAAACAATATAATTATTGTATAATATGTGATAAAATTATTGAATTATGGAAACAGTGTTCTGAACTTCTGACAATCTTTAACAATTAAGAAGTTTATCAAGTTTTATATGTTATCGCATCCCCTTTCTCAATCACTCAATGCCTTTTCTTTGACTGCCTTTCATTAATTAATGCTATACTTTAAAGATGCGGTACAGTCCGTATGCAAACAAAGGCTTTGTTTACATTTCGGTATTCAAAATATTGAATTTTATTCCACAACTAGTTATATTTTCATGATTCTAGAGTATAATAAATTATCAAGAGACAACAATCAAGCTTTGCAAGAAC